TATGTATGTGTGTATGCAAACATATATACATATATGCATATATAAATGAAGAGATTAATAGCTAGAAATTGTCATACATGATCATGGAGGCTGGCTATTCCAGTTCAAAAACCATAGGACAAACCATTCTTGGGCAGGATCTGAAGCTGCTAGTTCATGGGCAGAATTTGTTCTTCAGGGAATCTCTAGTTCTGTTTTAAGGTCCTTCAACTGATTGACTCAGACTCACCAGATTATCTAGGGTAATGTTCCTTGATTAAACTGATTGTAGATGTCAACCATTTATGAAATAATCTCCATAGAAACATCTAGGTTAGTGTTTGAATAACTGGGAAGTATAGCCTACTCAAGTTGACTCATAAAACTGACCATGAAAGTATGCTGGGGGGGGGGGGAGAAATGACCCAAACCTTGTATACACATATGAATAATAAATAAAAAAAAAAAAAGAAAGTATACCGGTAAAGATAGTGGTTTTTTTAATCACAACATTTCTCTTTGTTGGCTTTACTCTATAAATATTTTAAACATTGTATTTTAAAGGAGATGAGCTCTTCTCAATTTTTACTTTGAATAACAAAGGAATGATGGAGAAATTATATTGTAATAACCTTTCATATTAAAACATATAATTCACCTCTTTTTTCTAAATTAAGACAAATTCAAAAATCTTTCTTTTGTTGCCCCTCCCTTATTCAACTTCATTATCTTTCATGCTTAATCTTCATTTTTTAGCATTGACTTAAACATATAGTCCATGCTAGATACAATAGATGATACATGGCATTCATCAAAACTTTGTTAGAAAAAAATATCATTACAGTTCTTGTACATTCATTTTAGTGTCATATTTGTTATAATACCACTACAATGCTGATTTTTATTTGGCATAATATGATTTCCAAATATTTTATTCAATAAAGCTATAGTTTTTACAACAAACAAAAGCTATTTTCAAACAGTGATCCAGGACCTCAGAATGAAGACTGTCTAATGATTTTTTGAATAAACTGGTTCACATTGAAGACATTGTTTTGGTATATGCTCCATTACCTCTGGGAGAAACACTGATTTTCTGCCAAGGATTATGACTTTGCCATATTAAAACAATATTCAAAAGTTCTATAGAATCTTGAAGCTTTGGCAAGCAAACATTGGTTTATGATTTTTTTTGAAAGAATTTTCAGGAGAAGCCTGACAAATTTTAGCCTAGTGCCAAATACCATAGTAATCTCTTACAGATCTAAAGACTTATGAGTATCCAATTTAAAGTGGTTAATTAAAAAAATATATATTATATATATTTTTGCAAATTTTGATGTTTTTATTATGTATTAATGTCAGTACTACTAAGGGTTTATATCTAGTTAGAACATAAGCATATTCTTTTCTACACAGGATAGATCTTGATTCAGATAATGACTGCCATCATTTCCAATGGCCACATCATGCCTTTTCTTTAAGGCGTTTGTTAATCCATTTAACAAATAATTTATAGTACATGCCTATGTATTGTAGGTGACATTGTATACACTAGCAATGCAATATTGAACAAGACCAATATGATTCCTTCCATCACAATATGTATTATCTAAGTGGAGAAAAAAGATAGTAAATAAAAAATGTATACAAATCCTTAGATTTGAAACAAGTGCTACAAAAGAAACATACAATGTGGAATAGAATAGCAAATCCCTTTTGGGAGATAAGAAGAGTCTTTAAGGAAGTCACATTTAACTGAGGCCTAAAGCATGAATAACAGTAAAAACTAACAGTGCTAGCTCAATGCCAGATACTATTCTGAGTCACACTGATATATTAACTCATTTCCGTCTCAAAAAATACTATAAGATGGGCACTATTATTTTCTTCCTCTTACAGAGGTAGAAACTGGCAGAGAGATGTTAGCAAACTTCCCCAATATTACATAACTAATGAATAGGAAAATTAGGATTTGAGCCCAGAAAAAATAGTCTGCACTCTAGGAGCTGACAGAGTGGCTCAAGTGGTAGAGTCCCTGCCTAGCAAGCATGAGGCCCTAAGTTCAAACCCTAGTGCTGCCCCCCCAAAAAAAATTTAAGCAAAAGTAGTCTACGCTCTTAACCACTATGTTGCATGTTAGGAGATAAATGGGAGAAAATGGGGAGGATCACTTCAGGCAATGGGAACCCATGACTAAGTAGCCTAAGACCAGTGTAGTCAAAAGTTGGTAAAATAAAGATAAAATAGACAAAAAAGGAAGCAGCTATAACTGGAATTCCTTATTAAAATTTATTATTATTATTTTCATCATCATCATTATCATTACCATTATTATTTTATCACTTGGGCTTTGCTCTGAAAATATGTGTGAGGAGAATAAGAATTTATGTGCAAAGAACAGTCAAGAGATTGTTGTGGTAACAATGAGATGATGTTGGCTTGGATCCAGGCTGCAGAAGATGGAGCAAACCACACAAATTCTGGAAATATTTGAGAGAGAGAAAAATAGTAGGATTCTGGATTTGAGAAAGGGAGATTACTCCTAACTTTCTACCTAGAGCAGCTGGTCCCATAGTGGTGCCATTTACAGAAACAGTAAAGGGAAAAAAACAGATTTGAGGACAAACTGTCTATCAGTTTTGCTTCTATTGAGTTTGAGGTGGTTTGTGTAGTAAAGCAAGAAATTGGATCTAAAAGCCTGCACATAAGAACAGAGTTCTAAGCTTGAAATAAAATTTAATAGCTTTTTAGTCATAAGAGTAAATGAGGAAAAAACATAGTAAGAAAGCCCAGAATCAAAGATGGAAAAATGGGTAGAATTTTAGTTTGGGTGGAAAAGGTGATGAGAGGAAGCCATACAGAGGTAAGGAAGACTTAACAAAATGTGATAATGCAAAATAAAGGCATATAGCTTCCTGGGTCTTATTTTTTTTTTGTAAATTTTATCTGGTTTTGTTTTTGTTTCCTTATATAATTTCACAGTTGCACTAAATTTCTTGGAGTTCAACTTTGCACACTATTTTTTACTGCATGAGAATTTGGTTCAACTTTGCAAGATATGATTTTCTTTCTTCTTTGCTCTTCTTTTTCCCTTTTTCTAGTTAAGTGTTCTTTCAAATTTAATATTCTTGAAATGCTTATTAAATATTCCTGTTAAAGTGCCTCACTAGCTTTATATTTTGCTACTTAATTCTGTTCTTTTTTTAATTGGAATTTCTATCTGAAAGTGGTAGCTTTTATTTATGGCACTTTTAATTTTTGTATTTCAGATCATTCTGTGTAAACAGTTTCAAGTTGCAAGATACGATGTGAGATAAATACCCTGTCCGCATACCACCCACAGCTGCCTGTACACCATTGTCCTTTATCTCTGCTCCTACATGCAAGACCATACCTTGAACCATTCATTACTGAATTATTCCATATACTACACCTGAGCTTCTTTCCCATCTTCTGTTGTCTCTTTTTTCTCCCTTTGCTACTTTTTCATCCAACCATTTCTTTGCAGTTATCACTGTTTCCAATCTCTTTGTACCTTTAGTTCTTTATCTCATCTCAGTCTGTCATTGTGTTTTGCTTAGTTTTTCATTTTTATTGACATGTAAAAATTATTGATGTGTTCAGTGTAGCTCCACACCTGCATGTAGCATGTGTTGAGAAAGGCTAATCTTTTTTATTCATCTTTTCTCGGTCTACACACTCTCTTCACAACCACTAGTAATCACTATTGTATATTCAGGTCAACTTTCTTTTTACCTTTCAGCTATGAGAGGGACCATATGCTACTTGTTTGTATCTGGCTCATTCCATTTAACGTAATATCCTCCACTTCCATCCATTTTGCTGCAAATGACAGTAATTAATTCTTCTTTTGTAAGAATTTAACATTCCATTGTGTGATATATATATATATATATATATATATACATTCCATATATATGTACAGCATTACCTATTCCATAGACATGCATCATCTGCTAATGGGTGTCTAGGCTGGGTCTGTAGTCTAGGTATTCTTTGTCTCTTCAGTATGCTGATTTCATTTCCTTTCAATATGTACCCAGAAATAGGATAGTTGAATTACATGGTAGATCTATTTTTAGTTTTTTGAGGAACCTTCATACTGTTTTTTCTTTCATACATGTTTGGGTTTGTTGTATTAAGTCACTTTATCTAACTTTAGAACCATTTGCATATAACTTGTTAGCATGCAATTTCTTTTAAACCAATTCCTCGATAGAACTCTTTATTGCAAAGGATAATGAGCTCCATGTCAAGTTTGTAAATTCAGTTGTACTTTTATCTTGTTTTTTTTATTCATTTGCATTTAAACAAGCAAGTATATTTGAGAGAGAGTGTTTAGTCAGAGATAAATGGATGAGGGAAAAAAGTATCAGCTTGTGCTCAAAACTGTTCTATCTTAGTCTTAGACAGCTGATCTCTGGAAAATAAAAATACATCATAATATTTATTGTGTTTTCTACTATTTTATATTGTTAAATCTCAGTGGGCCTTGTGTTGTTGCAAACTAATTCCAAGTTGACTCTCAATTCTTTTTCCATAGTCATGATTTGGAACATTTCTACTTTTTTTGAGTCTTTGTACTCAATTTCAAAGACCTCATGTTTGAGCCAGACTGTCAAAGCAATCTGCATTAGTTCCCCAAATTCCTTTATCCTTCAAAATGTATGTTTTTACACAGTCTTTTACTTTTTCCAGTCTATCAGAAGAAAGAGCACCTTTTTTTCCCAAAATCATCCTTTCCATGTTTTCCCTGAAACGTAACAGAAACTATAGAGAAAAACACAAGGCGAAAAAGAATTATTACTGTATGTATTACTTTATTATATGTTTATCCTATTACTTTATATGCATGGTAATGATATAGTTAAAATAGAGTTTAAAAAGCTTTTTAAAAATATTATTTATACTCTATGTTAATATCTTCAATGTGGTATATTATTTTGTTATTAAAATGTTTTGTTAAATTTAAAGTGGATTTGCTTTGTTTTACTCAGAAAGACTGGTAGTCGTGGCTGAGCACTGTGAACAGAGTCTGGAAGACCTGCTTCGGGAAAGGAAACCTGTAAGGTACTGTGTAGTATCAGGACCAGTAAATAAAAAGTAGAAAGTGTTAAACCCAAAAGCATTTTTATTAGAAACTGCAGGACTTTGATTCCTTCTGTTTTTGTTTAATATAAAATATACTGGCAAATGTTCATCTTAAGAAATTTAATGCATAGGCCATTTAGACATGCAGTGTTAACATTGTTCAGTGTTCAGGTTTTGTGAGGTAGCCATTCTCCAAAGTACTGTAAAAATTCCTCAGAAGGATACATATGTATATATATATATATAAATTTGAAATCTTTCTAGTACTAATCATTTATTTCATTTGGTAAGATTAAGTTTATTTTCCTGAAAGTAGCTACATGGTAGCTTCTTACAGGATACTTGCATTCCTAAGGATACAATGAACTGTGTTAAGTAAAGACCATGTTGAGGAAGAGGAAGAAATAATTGTGACATGAGTAGAATTTAATGATACACTTGGAATTCATTTCAACAACCCAAATTTACTTTTTCTCTCTTAGGAAGAAGAGTGTGTGGTCAAAGCTTCCATTATAAATATTTTATTAAATAATCTGTTTCATATATTTTCTGAAATTATGTTATAATCATAAAAATGTATCTTTATTGTATAAAGAAAGTTATTAACTGATAAAAAATGCTTCTGTTCCCTCCTTTAGAGAAGTCTATTCTGACTATTGGTAATTATGTTACTTTTCTGTATATTTAGTGAATATGTTTTTATGTTTATAGTTTTTGTTATGTCACCAATCTTTATTTTGTTGAAGAACATCCAATATTATTCTTTGTTCACTATTCAGATTTTTACTGCATTTTATAGGCCAGTGCTGCTATAAAGAATTCTCTATGAAATCTAGTTCCAAATAAAATTCAAACCAATCTTTATCTAGGAAAAAATTATTTTAACTATGCTTGAATTAAATTTATGTAAAGACTTATAATGCAATATATATAATGAAAAAGGTAATAACTAGCTAAAAGCAGTCTTGGACGAGCTTCCTAATCATTTTCCATACCTATAAAACAAGTAATTTTACTTGATATAGGGATTATTCTAATATCAACTTAATATTTTATGAATGTGAATAAGATTAAATACAAAATTCATATTGTCTTTCTTGCCATTTACATTTTTTGGGGGGGTGGGCCTCACGTTTACTAGGCAGGTGCTCTTACTGCTTGAGTCACCCCACCAACACTTTTTTGTGATTGATTTTTTTGAGATAGGATCTCGGGAACTATTTGGGTCTGGCTTCAAACAGTGATCCTCCTGATCTTTGCCTCCCAAGTTGCTAGGATTACAGGCAACAGTCATCAGCTCCCAGCTACCATTTACCTTTTATAGTAGTGTTTTTTCAGTTATTTTAAACAGATTGCATCATCCTTTACAGGTCTTTGTAATTTCTTCAAGGAAGATGTATTTAAACATTTGTGCTAATGAAGTACTGTTTTTAATCATTCTGGTAATAGGCTTGAATTCCACTGCCTTTCACTTGAAATGATTCTGTCAGGTTCAGTTCCAAGTTGTTATCTGATCCAATCATCTAAATTAGTTTTGGTGAGAACTGTTTAACTTTTCCACATATTTGGGTTACATTAGTCTCCAAAAACATAGCAAGCTTCATGTGCAGACTTGATGTATTACAATTTTAATTATGTAACCTGTTTATAGAAAGTGAGAAGGAACTTAATTTAGTTTTTTACTGCCAAAAGTAAGCATCTTGCACCTGTAAGAAAGGCAGATACAAAATAAATAGGAAATCTTATATTTAGATGGAGTTTAGATTCACGATTTTTACTTATCCATTTGTCTATCCATTTGTCTTGCAAACTGTAAACTGTCAGTTGTCTATTAGTTATTTGAGTTGATTTTCAACAAATAAATTCAATGTATATAATTTGCTTGATTTATATTTTGAAGAAAATTGTAAATCAGTTAAAATTGGTGGAAGAGAAAATAGGGGAATAAAAAAACTTAGAGATGAATCTTGTGCCAGTTTATAAGCTAAGTTTTCTTGAGTGACAGATTTAATACTAAACAAAGCAACATTATACTACAACATCATCATAGTAATTCACTAACAGATTATACCCTAAGACTATCTTGAAGTTTCAGATCATACTCAAAACTTAAGCATTCTCTCTCTTTATAACTTTAATGACCATAGAACTCTGTTGAGACTTTGTTATCCAGGAAGAAAATAATAAATTGTGCTATGACCTGGAGGCATTATTGAGTTAATCTTCCATATAGCAGATTTGCTAATCTGATTTAAAAGAAAAAGGTATTCAATATTTTCTTTAGAGTCCATTCATATAAGGAATATAAGGAATTAATTTTGGGAAAAAGCTCCTGTCTTTCCAGTGACTTTTACATTACTTGTGCCAGAGTTCAGTCTTGCCAACATTTCTCTCTAGTTTCAGTTAATACTGATAGGAATTATTTGGAAACATAGGGGCATGGGATTAAAGACATAAAAGCCAGTAAGTTTCAAGGCAAAAGTGTAATATTTGAAGATATGTTTGAAGTTATCTCGTATTTGTTGCCTGTGAATCTACTTAATTGCTGTTCTAAAAGCCTGATTCAGAAGACTAAGAAATGGAGAAATTTAGATCCCTTCTCTTCTTTGGAACTTTTTCCAGAGAATATTAAAAGGCATTCACTTTCATTACTCCTATTAAAGCAAGCATGAGGGAATGGTTTGCCTTTTAAGTCTAGCTACTATGTGGAAAGTTTTTCCTTTTTGTGTTAGTATTATGTATTCAGAGCATGTACTTTTGCTTAATCTGTATAAGTAGTGTCAAACGCAGCTCATAGACAGATACTCAGCAGAGATTTGGCACTTGCAATAGAGTTTCTACATTGTCCTTAAATTTGCAAGTGGGGGAAGCATGGGCAGAGCAGGCATGTTTCTTTAATAAGATGTAGTTTGTCACATGTTTTAAGGTTATGGTTTTGAAAGTGTACCAGAATACCATCACATTGCAGAGGTTATATGTGGAGACTGATGGGAAGCAGACTATGTCTGCAACTGTTCACTAGCTTGATGGAAAACATGAATTGACTTACTCGGATGAGTAAGTTTTATTTGTCCCTGTTAAAACATTTACTCACTGAATGAGATACTCCAAAGAATTTGAACTCATTCTGGAAAGTGGTTCAGATTGGATAATGAACCTCAGGTAAATTCTGACAGGTAGTAGATATCCTTATTTTAAAATAAAAGCTGGTAGTAGAAGTTTAGACTCTCATACTTTTATTTGTTTGTTTGTTTTCAGGAGACCTAGTTTCAAAATACATTTGACACAATTACAGTATAATTCTATAATTTAGATATTTATATAACTGAGCTATATTTTCTTCCTATTTTATCTGTTTTGTTTAAAGAAGGAAAATTATATCAAAAGTTACTCTTCATTCAGGCTTGGAATCTTGCACAAACTTCTGCTTTCTGCTTCTCTTGAACCCTATTTCCTATTTGTTGTTAATATAATCTTAGTGATACTTCTCACATCTCTGCTGTCCTCTACATTATTTGGCATAGGCTGTCACTAACAAGTATGGCAACATTCCCAACTGGTGTTCCTCACTTCATTCTTTCCAAACCCCAGTCACTCCTACTTTCTCTGCTCTATTAATATTCTTAAAGATTAGTCAATTCTCTACTCAAAAACATTTGGTGGCTCTCCATTTTTTTTCTAAAGAAATGCATTTTATAAGCTTAGGATCTGACTTCAGTTCCTCTAAATTATTTCCAAATAGTGTCTTAAGTCATGCAAGTAGTTTTTATTGTTACCAATATGTGAGATTTAGTGCCAGAAAATTGAAATATACTGTGAAGAATGAGCTATGTCTTTTTATCCAAGTGTATCTGCAATCCCTTTTTTTTTTTTCAGTTCTGGGTATTAAACTCAGGGCCTACACCTTCAGCCTTGAGTCACTCCACCAACTCTTTTTTGTGATGGGTTTTATTTTCGAGGTAGGGTCTTATGAACTATTTGCCTGGGCTGGCTTTGAACCGTAGTCCTCCTGATCTCTCCCTCCTGAGTAGCTATGATTACAGGCATGAGCCACTGGTACCTGGATGTGTGTGCAATCTTTAGCACAATGTCTAGCAGCTCAAGCAATATACTTTCCTTTGTCTCCTTTTGTCACTTCCTCTCAACAAAAGCAAAAAATTGTTTTCCTCCTCCAGATTTCTGAATTTGCACTATATTTCTTTAGCAATAAGTTACCTTTCCCCCTTTTTAAATATACCATTTGGTGGGTTTTGACCAATGTAGATACCTGTACAGCCCAAATGCATATTAAGATTAGCAATTGTAGTAGTGTGGTAAAGACCCTTGTGCTCTTGTATATGACTACTTTCACTTAGTATGTTTCTGAGAATCATCAAGTATTTCATATATCATGGCTTATTTTTTATTGCTGAGATGTGTTCCATCTTATGACTATACCACAGTTTGTTTAGGAATGTTCTGTTCATGACTGTTTCTAGGTTTTTGTCTATTATGACTAAAGCTGCTGTGAATCCATCTGTGACTTTTTCTGTGCCTGTATATTTTTATTTTTCTTGGGTAAATAGTAGGAATATAATTGATGGGTTATACTGTAGGTACATGATTAATTAAAAAAACAAATCTTTTTAGAAATTATCTATTTTATATTTCCATCAAAAATACATGAGAGTTCTGATTCTTTCACATTTTTGCCAGCAATTGGTGTTTTTAGGTTTTTAATTTTAGCCAATTTTAGTAGGTATTAAGTGGTCTGTCATTATACAATTAATTTGCATTTCCATGACAATCTAAAGATGTTAAGCATTTTTTCATGTGCTGCTGGGGTGTTCATATCATGATATATAGACCTGTTTAATTTTCTGTTTACTTTTAAGGGGTTGTCTCATGTTTATTCATAGTATTCTTTGCATATTCTCTATATCTTTTTTATTTTATTTTTTTGTAAACACTTTCTGTCAGTCTGACTTGCCTATTATTTTTCTAAATATATCTTTGTGGCAGAAGTTGTTGATGATGAAGTCCAATGTATTAAATTTTTCTTCTGTGGTCTTTGTTTTTTGAGCACTGTTTAAGAAATTTTGCCTACTCTCAAGTCATGAAGGTACTTAATGTTTTAGGTTTTGTGTTGGACCTATGCTCCATCTCAAGTTAATATTTGT